CCAAACATATGAATAAGTCTCATCATCAGGTGCATACCACTCATTGTTTCCAACATCTTCATCATCAACAGAAATCTGTGGGATGTTTTGCTGCATGAGAGGTTTTGAGAACACACACACAAGCAAGTTATCCTTGGTTCCACTGCTGATAAATCCAGTCTGTAACAATCTGGAAAATTTTAAAAATAAGATGAGAAAAAGATGACTTGATTCTATTTCTAAAACAATATTCTTGTATTCAGTTAAAAAAGTGTGAACATTTTACCTTGGGTTCTTTTCCTGTCTGTTGACAAGCCACCTCAGGAAGAACCATGGGCTTTGGTCAGAAGGATCTGTAAAGACTGCTTCAACCACTGTCTGCAACTCCTGCAAAGTTTAAAGCCACAAAAATACTAAATGAAGATAAATCAAATGAGGATAACATAACCATCAAATATCACTAATGACTGCTTCGTAACCAACTGAAAGTTTCCTTGTTGTATTTCTTAAAAATACTATTCCTTAAGCTCACAAAGTAACATATCGGTATCCTAAAGATTTGTCCTGAATTCTTGTACACTGGAAAGAATGACAATATTTCTCAACTCAACTATATTCAAAATCTAGATTTACTTGTGACACGATCTGCAGTAACAGTTAGCAATATCTCCTCAAAGTGAACTATTAATTTGAACACATAAAACCTAAATTACCCATTTTCAATCTTTCAGTTTTAAAAATCTAGAAGTATGTAAAGTCTTAAAAATATATATATTCAGCAACATCTGACAGACCTTAATAAGGGTATTCTCTGAAACAGGATGTGGGGTGTCTGGCAGTGGTGGGTACACAAGTGGCAGCAGCTTTGAGCGGTAATGCCAGGCCGAATAGTTGCTCAAATTTCTTTCTATTAGTAGCTGTGATGTCTTCAGCTCATCTTCTGGCTGCTTGCTACTTCTAGCAACAACAAATCGACGGTAATCCCAACAGTGGACTGTAAAGTGCAAAGTGCATTACTTAAAATTTAAATGATAACAAGACTCACACCTAGTAATTAATTCCTAATAATTACTTACAGTTTCTCTCATCTGCCTTGAGATATTTATCGCAGAGAGCCAGTTCCTTATCCCAGGGAGGGTTGGGAAAGTTTTCCATGACCCAGCACCTGTGATGCCAAGCTCCATAGCTCTTGTGGTTTTTCATCAGGCAGTTCTCCACGACTGACAGCTCCCCCTGGAGCAGTTTGTCCCAAGACTCATGGTCATCACTGAAACATAAGGCAAAATCATAGTACTTGGAGGACAGGGGAACAAGTGTGCCTATTGTATAATCATCACAGCTGTACGAACATGGATCATAAGAATAAAAATTATAAAATGAAAGTTTTAATGTTACTAAGACAATTACGACAACACTCGAGTGATTGATTGAACTTAACACGAACTGTAATATAGCAATCACAGATGAAAGTGCAGAACAAATATTACAGCACAAAGATATTACATATAAAGATTATGATATATGACAAACACTAGTGTGGAAAAAAAGTGTGATGAACAAAATCTTAGAATATTAACCCATTCACCACGGGCATGTCATGTACATCCATGCATGCCCACTGTGAGTTTAGATGACTACACATATGAGCTAATTATGAGTACTGCCTGTCTCACCTATTTATCCTTTTTTTTAATTTATGAAAATATTTTGTTTCCTTATTTTGGTATTACTAATGTTTATAACATAATAGTAATTATAATGTTTATACTAAAAATAACACCATCAATATTCATAAGACTAGTAAAAAATAGTTTCCCACCAATTCAAGGAAAGGTGAAATTAGGTTAGGCAGAGCCATCTATTTGTAGAGACATTTCACAAAAAAATATAAAAAATGAGCACAGCATTTTTCCCATTTTTTATTAATTTTCCCCAGTGGGTTAAGGATAAAGACCTTGCAATCAAACAATGATAATCACAAATTTAATAATGGCAACAACAACAATAATAACACTAAAAATATTGATAATAATAATATTAACAATAATAATAATAATAATAATAATAATAATAATAATAATAATAATAATAATATATTACACATGAAATCATCATAATGATTACTTCAACTATCTTGAGAACATTATTGTGTGCATGTCGTATAAGAAGTCCAATGACAAATGACAACATTCTAATTAAAGCATCAACATAGCATTCTGCCACACAAAACCTACCTTTTCATGGCCAGGATAATTTCCCTTCGAAAATTCCACAAGGTGGCAGCATCGGGATTGGCCATGAGCAGCTGAGCCGTCACCTTCAGTCCCTCCTCATCATAGGTTCCTGTTGATCTCTACAGAGGATAAGAAAAGGTTACGAGCATTCGAGAGAAAGTGGACTGAAGAGTCTATTAATCTTGTGAGTGATTGTGCATGTGCTTTCATATGTGTGTTAGTATATATATATATATATATATATATATATATATATATATATATATATATATATATATATATATATA